TGTCATATCAAGAAAGGTATTTCGTTTAACATGCCATTGTATATAAATAAGAAAATAGATAAATAGATTCCAGAACATTCCATGTAGGTGTACATTTTCTCAAAAATAATTTCAAATCTAAATCTGGGAGTTTTATCTCTAATTTTGGGATAAAATTAAGATTTTGTCTTTTCATCCACAACCAAAAAAAGGTTTACCTTGATACATGGAGGCATTGTGATATTAAGGTTGCAGAGCACTTGTTGGTTGTCTTCGTATTTGGTAGACTTGCGTAGGAAGGATAAAAATCCAGCAGGTTCCTTACTGCTGTCTCTCACCTGCAAAGATAGAGAGATATTAATGAGCTGTTTATTTTATGTGAGCTTGAATAGTGATCTCCTTGCAAGAGTATTAATACCCCTTAAACTGTATTCATTTTGTAACATTATAACCACATTATAAACACAAACCTGTACTTTACCTAAACTGTATATGGCAGCAAGGAGTTAATAACTCTGGAGGAGAGGAAGGAAATGTATAGTTTGTGTGCTTGTACATATATACAGCCCGTCTAAATCTAAACTAAGTAGAACTACCTTTGCTAAGATTACAGCAGGTCTTTTGAGTGTATACTTCTAGCGTAGCTCTACATTAATATAATTTACATTAAAATAATATAAACAGTAAAAAAAATGCTCAGACAAAAAAAGTAAACAAATATTTAGTAAAAAAAAACACTCAAGTAACTGAATAACTGGCATCTGATTTACTATATAAAATGATTAGATAGACCAAAATATGATCTGCCAGATAAGTAGGTTTTATCAGATTTGGGTATTTTTAAGACAAAAAAAATATTACAAATAAAAAAAAATATAAAATGAGAACTCAAGCAGAATAAATTATTCTGCAAATCCAATTTTTACATAAAACATGGAACCAATTGCTCCCCAGTTGCGGTTTCTCCAGAGTTACCATGCACCTCTTGGCTCTTCATTTAAGATGGAAATTCATGTTTTGTTATTTTTTTGTTATTTTCTGTCAACCCAAACCTGCTTTGACGTTCTCTAAAACTTGATCACTGTGCTCTATGTAGTTCTTGGTTTTCATTATGCTGTCAGTGCATGATGTGCAATGACAATACTCTGATGTTTTACAGGTTGATTTATACTTAAATGAAGTTACACACAGCTAGGGAATTTCATAGTTAAGGGGGTGAATACTATGCATATTGCATTTTTTGAATTATTTGGAAAAAAAGCAAAACTTTTTGCTTTCTCCTTACTGTAGCACTGTCTTTGGATTATTTGTCAATTAATATTCCAGTAAACAAAATGGATGTTGGTTATTAAAATGTGACTAGATGTGAGCAAATTTAAAGAATACTTTTCAAATGCAGAGCATAACTTCAAACCAATATGGAATAGAGGAAATACAGAGTAAAATCAAAGTTGTGCTTCAAATTTATAAAGTCATACATTGGATCTTTCAGTAAATCCTGGACAAAAAAAAAAAAAAACATTTCAAATGCATCTTCAAAAGTCTCTATTTGATATAATAATCAGGCTATAATGAGTGCACGTGAATCTGTATTAGCAATGTCAAATTGCAGAAAATAAGGTAAAAAACCTTAATGGAGACTGGAAGCCTGTTGTCCCTAAAAGCCTGGAAACTAAAGCAACGAGGCTGCTGTGTGGCCTTCCTCACTGGCACTAGGTTCCCTGAACACTCCAGATGAAGCGGCATTCCCTCCATCACCTGCAAGACACAATTCATTATGATTAATCATGTTTTATCAGTGTCCTCAGGCAGGAAAAAAAAACTCTTAGGTGTTTGTCTCAGGCTGCCTGTTACTCAACTGACCTCTATGTCTCGGCTGCGAGCCACTTCTGTGAAGTTTTCATGCTGTTCCAGAGTTTTATCCATCTTATCGTCTGTCATGCAGTAGCAGCGCAGACGTCCCTCACGCAGCTCATTCATCTTTGCGAACACCACAAACTTGGCCATGTAGGGTACAGCTGATAGCTCTTTGTAGAGCAGGCTGGCAAAGGAGACGGCCTCAGCTGTCCGAGGACAGTCAGCTAGCCAGAATCTATCAGCAAACAATCACCAGGGATGACAATGCTGGACACAGATTCTAACTTTCTTTGGCACAAGAAAAAGGAGCTTTAAGGCATAAAAAAAGCTGTTTTAATTGATAAAGTGTAAATGAAACCTGTTGAACTGACCGTGCAGAAACATTGGTGGTAAAGCTGGCACAGTCATTGGCATAGAGGAGCTTGGTAGTGCCAGTAATGTCTTCCCATTGGGCTGGGGCTGTCCCACCTGTCAGTTACACAGCGTGGGAAAGAGGAAACCCAGGAATCAAGGTAGCAGGGGAGAATCAAATGATGACCAACATATTTTTCTTTTTATTAATAGTTGGTTCATGCAGTACCTATAACAGAGCAGAGAAGACGCAGACTGGTGGTGTCACCCTCCCCCGAGTCTCGTGGACTCTCCCTCCAGGATGGAGGCAGGGGTATGCGCAGGCCGATGGGGCGGTGGAATTTGCGCCGCCGAGGCTCCACGGTGACTACAGGGCTAAAGTTTGCTTGGTTACCCAGCAGCTTTGCAACCAGCTCATCTGGAACTGGCTGGGCCTGAGGTGGTAAGCAATGGGGGGAGGAAAACGCAAAAGGGGTACAGGTTGGAAAATGTGGGAGAAAATAATGGTTGTATAAAATAAATGAAATTCCAGAGATCAGAGTAGAGATTTATGGAAGGATGAAAAAAATAGGGGGTAATTAAAGATAAAGAAAAAAGAGAGAAGAACACCAATTAAAACCTTCTGATTTTGTTGAGAAAAAAGTGACACAAACTGGTTCTATGCATATAAAACAATTTTTATTATAAGAATGGGTGTTAACAAGGTCTTACAATCATTAATACAAAAAGGGATATCAACAAATAAGGCAACTTGGTTTCTTAGACCTATTGATTTTCTCTACAATAACATTATAGCTATAGCTATAGATAAATGGATTTCTTAACATCATAAAGGAATTCTTTCTTTTAATGAAAAAAAGTGAATCATAAAACAATCTCTTTTTCGTCTCCTTCTACATTCAGTATCACAGGTTACAGCATGATGGCAAAAATATCTGTAAGGCATCTTGGTCTTTACATAGATTAAACTATATGTGCTTTTGAAATCCGAGGATCCTAAACATACATTTAACAGTTAATCTAACATGTCATTACCTGTTTTGATATTTTAAGTTTCTCTTAAAAGATGAAAATATTATAAATGTGGAATTAACTTCTAACTAAACTACTTAAAACCAATTTGGTAACCATACAAAAATAAATTTGCTACATAGGAAAGATGGTATAATGACCAAAAGGACACAGGTCAGATATTTGTGGCTTCAGAAATCAATTCAAAAACACAAATTGTGTGGTCCTTAACAGTACATTCAAAATGCTTAAATAGAAAGGCACCTTATGAATCAATCTACTTTATTAATGAAATGTATGTAATTAGTTATTTGGAGCATGTGAATAAAGGAATAATCATGCTTTCAAAGTAATTCAGATGAATGAAAACATCCCTTTACTGCCGAAGACGTACATTTCACAATTAGTGTGAATTTGAATAAGGTTTTACGGACAACTTTAAAAACGTCTGAGCCCCCAAAATGAGAGACTCACAGCAGAGATCATTTCTATTGACTTTCTCCATTAAAGTGGACATTTGTTTAGCACTTTTTTTGTACAATAAGATAAATGAAGTTGTACTTGAGGGTTTTCAAAACTTGATTTAGGTGTTAAAAGATAAAGTTCTTGGAGGATCACAGTACTTAACTGAATCTTTAGAAAAAACAAATTATTTAAAGGACAAATCAAAAGTATATTTGTCGAAAACCAGACAGTACATTGTAAATAATTGCTGTAAGTAACTGTCAACCACTTAAGTTGAGGTTGATTATTTTGGAGGCACAATGTTGTGCACAATCCAGAGTTTTGGTCAAAAATAAGAACTCCTTTATATTCCAAAATTTCAAGAGAGCATACGCTTGGTTTAAAAAAAAACAAAAAAAAAACATGCAAAATGAAAAAATGCTAGATGACTGCAAATCTAAAAGGAAATGACTGAAAAAGAAGAGAAATGCTGCACAGTTCAATGTTCACACCCCAACCTGAGGCAGAGTATGCATTAGTACCTTTAGATAATCACATGAACCAGTTATGTAAAGATATCAGAATACTGCAACAATGATATCAGAGATAAATAGTAGAAAACTTTTATTTTAAGTATTATTCAGCTAAATGTGTTGTTAAATCCTACTAAATTATTGATTTATTGTGTCCAAATCTTGACTTAGATAAATTATACCAGTGTATTATTATATGTCCTGTTGTTCATCAGGGGTATAATTTACCTAATAATACCAGCTACATATTATTATGGTTCTTGGTTGTAAACCTAAGAATGGAATTTAAACGAAACTTAACCCTAAAAGAGCAAAACAAGTATTGAGCCAATAATTATAACATTAAAAAAATGGCACTATGTCAAAATAGTTTTACCACAATTTCTCCAGTGTGGGACAATTAAGGGACTTTTTTCTATTGTTTAAGAGATTTATAGCTATATCCTTTAACTAGATATGATTTCAAAGTTTAAATGTAATCTAACACTTACATCACTCCTTTCAATCAATTTTTTTAGAAATAAAATTCTGAACTGACAAACAGTGAGGGCAAAGAAAGTTAAGGTTTATATAAAGCAAGAAGTTGGAGTTTATCACTAGTTGGATAGTGCTTTTCCTATAAACTGTCAGTTGTTGAGCTGGATGAGTGGTCCACAGGTTGAAAACCTTTTTGTGCAGCAAAACATTTCTTTTCTTTTGAAATAAAACTTTCAAGCACAGTTAAAACTGAAAAAATACACAAAAACACAGCCTTTCCAGCAAAAAAAAAAAAAAAGCAAACAGATACAAATTCTTAGGCATCTCAAATAAATGTGTTAAATATTCAATGTACAGGCTTTGTCAAGGACATAAATACTTAAGGAGAACGGGAAATAATTTTTTTTTCAAAAGGCTGATAAAGGTGACAGGTGCATGCAAAATGAAAAATAAAAGGCAAAAAGGTCCTCCAACATGACTAAAAACAACAGAACAAGCTTGGCACATGACATGAATTTGTGGTGAACCAAAGTAAACGTAACATGCTTTATTTCAAGCATTAGCAATTTTGTCTCTCCTCTCCTCTACTTCTTCCTCATCGTCCCATCTCACCTGCAGCCCGAGACGGACTCTTTTGGTAACTGCCGTCTCAGGAAACGTGGCCTGCACCATTGGGACCAGTTTACTGGTAAGCGAACCTCCCTCTGGACCAATCAGGTCACTCTCTTGTTGGACTCTCGACACAACCGCAAAGTAAAGGGGGAAGTCAGTAGAAATGATGCGACGGATTCGCTTCTTGCTAAGTTCCTCTTGACTTTCCAGTTCTGTGATGAGAGGCAAAGTTATATTTTTTAGTAAATGTTTCAATGGGAACAGTACATGGCTTTCAGTTTAAAATGAATGTTGAACTTTAACTCACCCTCATCCATTCCATTCAGGATTGTTTCCAGAACCTCATCACCATACCGGTTGCGGTGCTCCTTCCAGACAGATCCGTTCTCGCTTCTGAGCACAACAAGCTCTCTGTCTCCCCGACCCAGAGCAGCAAAGTGGGGGATCTCCACAATCACCGGTCTGCCATAAACGCAGGGTAAATAATAATAAAAAAAAAAAAATCAGGATCCAAATATGCAAAGATCAAATAAAATAGGAGGGCTTCTTATTGAGGACAATTGGGGTGACTGATCCATTTACAAATAATACATTTAGATATTCAACAATAAATTGAACAGATTGTTTGGGGAAGGGTCGTCCACTTTTAGGAGACTGTGCTTTGCTCACCCCAGAAACTGCATCCCCGCTGGACCTAGAGAAATGATCCTGCTGGCCAGCCCCTCTCCCTCCACCAGAGGTGGGGGGCTGGTCAGCTTCTGCGGCTTCACCAGGCGGCAGGTAATGCGAGTGGGTGCCGCACACGTCCGTGGAGGTATGATGACACGCAGACCATTATGCCTGCTGCCTCGCATTGAACCGCCTCGAGCATCCACCATAAAACTGACCAGAAACCTGTTGGTGGGAAAAGTAATGAGAAAACCCAAAACCACAACAACAAAAAATAAAGAATAAAAGTGCTTGCTTGTGCTTTGGCTGTCCTGACCCTGTGTGGATGGGACTGGCGACCGGGCTGACATTGTCAGACGTCTCAGTTGCTGGACTGCTGGGAATCAGTGAATCGTCGTCGTACTCTTTGGGTAGTGGAAGCGGCGTGTGTTGCTGCATGAGAGCAAACATGGATCATTAATGAATTTCTGTTGATCTTAAAGGTATATAAGCGATCTTTTATTTACAGGTGGATCATCTAAATAAGTGGTCCTCCAAATTGTCAATCATTCTGATAAACTGATATGTTTATGTAAGGTCATCCTATGTGTTTGTCCCATATCTTTTTCTGTGCATTTTCAGATGTATGTGTGGTGAGCTACGGTTTCAGACAGTCATTGAAAATGGAGAAGGGAAGTGTATGAGAAGAAAAAAAAAAAGGTCTAAGAAGAGGCAGATATATCCTGGAATGCTTAGTGCAGAGAGCAAAGCATTATGGGATTTGCTGTCACAACGGCCCGCTGTTGCCATAGGCTATCCAACAGTGGCGACCAACAACTAAGATAGTGCAGGCACCCTGCAGTGGAGGAGGAGTTACGTGACCAATGGAGCAAAAAACCGTGATCATCTATCCGAACGGTCAGTAGTTTGCTATAAATTCCACTATTTAGTCCACGCTGTACATAGTGGTCAAGGGATTTACGGGTTTGGGCGGACGTTTGTACACAGTAAGCTTGTATGAGCTATGAGAACAGCAACTTTTAAACAGAGCGTGCATAAGGTGAAATGGGCTTGTGCATGCTCTCGCACATCTTGCACATTTTCTTTTTGTGGAAAGGGAAGGTCTTTTAAAAAATGCACGAAAATCCTCCAAAATACCTTTAATGTCATATAAAACCAACCAGGTAGCTATTCTACATCGTTCCTAACAGAAAAAGATGACCAAATTAACTTAAGTTAATAACTCTGTCCTCAATTTTAGGGCTCTGGTTTAACTTTGGAAGTTGACGACTTGAAGTCAGCAATAAATGACAATACACTGTAGGTTTAAACAAGGCTTGTTCATTAGATTAAAAGTACCTTTGGAACAAAAATACCCTTAAATCACATATTTGAAAATACCTGTAATTAAGCTCACATTATTACTTAAGATTATGCTAAGTTGGTCTGATGTACATTCCAGTCCTGGCACAGATTATCTACTGGAATTGATATAAAGGCCTTGGTAAATCTTAACCTTTTCATTCTAGGTCCTGACTGTATGTTAAGGGTCATTGTCTGTGGTCCTTGCCTTTTACAGGTGTTTTTCCAGGATTACTCCTTCCATCTCCTTCCATCCTTACAGAAATTCCCCTGTTTACGCATTTATAAGGGTCTGTTTAGAGATATTACCTAGAACATTATCCTTTAGATTATGCCTGAAAATAATGATTTTTAACTGTATCATCCCTACATAATAATATAATACTGTTGCAACTTTTGTAACTTCTTTGTCCGGTAAGAAATGGGAGTTAAATATTATTTAAAAAGTATTCTTATCTGTCCCTCTTCAGAATAGGCTGTTTTTATGGTTAAAGAGAGCACAGCTGCAGCCAGATGCATACATAGGTGCACATTGCTTCCATCTGGTGGACTTGATAGGCATACTAGCATTGACATTATGCATGAATCTTTGTGAATCTGGTACAGAAATAAAATAAACAGTGGGTAAAACAGCTGCAAGCGTTTCAGACCACAAGATGTAAAAGAATGAAAACTCCGACGTAATATTATCTGAGTGTTGGATTTCTGTGGTTCTGTATTTTACTGTACCTGCTCTATCTCGTGTTCTCTCAGATGTACAGTCTCTGGGGAGACACGAGGGATCCTGGGAATGGCAGGTGAGTAATTTCTGTTGTAAGGAAAAGAAAAAAGAAAATAAGTGAGACTTAAAACATTTCATCAAATCTCTGCTCCTCCCAAGCAATCGTCCTGGGGTTTAATTATGTTTATGTAGCACCCCCCTTAATCCCATCCTTCTAATGGCTCATAACTACTGGCTTTGGCTTTCTACCCTACTCCCCACTCAGCCCCCCTTACGCTGTGCCCAGCCCTCTCTCGTACTCCAGTGATTTCTTGGGGGAGAGGAAATCGTCATCATGGTCTTTCATGTCATCCATCTTCATGTACCTGGCCCCTTCTGTCCCCAAGAGCTCCTCTCCTTCAGAGAACAACATGCCAAAGAGAGCGAACAGATCGTGGTCAGGTTGGTGACACAGCACAGGAGAAAGAGAGAAAGAAAACAAGGCTGTTAACTAGCTGTTAGAAAGGTTAAACAACATGACACCCAAAATGATGGACGTGATATTTGGTGGTTAGACAGATGACATGAAACGTTCATGTTTTTTTTTTTTTTTTTTTTTTACATTTTTTTCATATCACTGCTCCCACAGGGAACAATTAAAACACTGAACAAATAAATGAGGATGTAAACTTCAGAAATTAGTGTTAGGGTTTTGCTCTCAACTTGCTGACATCTTTAAAGCAAAAATCTATGTGATAAGAATAAAATCAGCTTAAATATTGCTTTAAGATTTGTGATATGCAAAGCAATTCTTGTGTGAAAACATGAAGTAAGCCACTGCACAAACAGCATCAACCTCCCTCTTGAATACCTAGTATATCTAAAGTATCTCTATCTTGTTATTTGGAGGTTTACTTAACCCTAAAAGAAGAGTTTTAAAAAAAGAGAAAGTTGCCAGCAAAAACTTGCGTACAAGAAATGCCCTTTGTCTTATGCATATTAATGTGGATGTATTCACAAGGTTCAGAACCAGCGTTTTTTCACAGTGGCTAGTGTTAATAAATTCATGTGTCTGACCAGGTCCCCCATATTCCTTGTTAAAGTTTGATCATATACCTCAAAAGGGTACATCATCTGCTCATATCATTGTTTTTTTCTGAATTTGCGTCTTTAAGACAACAAAAAAGCTGTTAATCTATTTAGAGCCCCCAAACAATCTGGGTGTTGAACAATGAGGGGACTAAAAATATCAAGATTAATATTAGTTACATTTCCAAGAACACTGCTGCACACCAAAAATAAAACCATGCATATTTTCTAGCCGTTACAGGGTAGCAGAATAAATAGATGGACTGTAATCCCACCACTAGTGATATACATGTTGATCTCATAAATATATATACTGTATATATATATATAAAAAAAAAAAACATATTAAGGATCTTTTTCTTCACACCTGATCATATTTAGTAAACAACCCCACAACTTTGGTCTCTTCACTGTTTATTTCAAAACAGTCAATATTCAAACAAGGAAGGCCTCAATCCCATTTAAGGTATCATATCAGGGTGTTCATTTAGGCTGTTTTCAAATAGTGTAAAATCTTTCATAATGGCATCCATCTTCCTTCCTGTTGTTGGTCTTTGATTTTTGCCATCTTCGAACATTTCCTTCCAGTAAGCTGTGCTCCACAACATTGCATGGAACGTGATTTAAAAATGTTTCCAATTTTTTTTTTTTACTTATAGCAAAACTATATTTAGAGCTTTACGCTTGTTTGTTGATTTAAAAATCTTGGTTTCCACTAATGGCATTAAGCTGCTGACACATCATTTCATGGCTCGGCAATTATTTTTTTCTGTTTTCATATAGCCAAATAAGTCCTCCCAAATATCCTTGTTAGGTATGGGTTTAGGTTCCCCTTCTTACAATGTGTGTATGTTGAAATAAATGGTGTACTGCTTAACTGTTCAGTGTAGTCCTGCATCCTGAAGTTTCCATTTTGGTTGTTTGTATTGTGGCGGATATGCTCAATGATCAGTCAGTGCTCCCAAGTGTTTAAAAATCCATTAGCTGAATAAATCAGAAGTTAGGTCAGTCTGCTATCACTAAGAGCCATTCTGTACATTAAGCATACAGAGGTGAGTGAAGAGTAAAGTAGATTAACTTAATGTAAATCTGTGCTGCCGTAAGGGAGCAGCTCAGATTCTACACCGACTTTTTTGTGCATTTCCTTTGATATGTTGACAGTTTACAATTGCTTTTGAGATGCAAACTGTAAAGGTAGGAAGATCTATTTCTCATATAATATCATTTCTAGCTACCTTTACAGATTTTTATTCTTTCTATCTGATTCAAGTCTAGACTCTGGAAGGGCCACTCCAGTATATATTATCTATAATCTGAAGACGCATTGGTCGGTAAGAGTACTTAAACATGAGTGTGAGCATAATTGTGTGTGTGTTTGTATGTATGTGTTGGAAGTTTGGCTGAGCTGTTATCCTTTAGTGGTTTACCACTTTAACTCAAAGCAGCTACAGTATGTGTCACTAGTCTTGTCACAACACAAATTTTGCAAAAGAATAAATCTTCTCAGAAATTATTTTGATAAAAATAATATTGTCGTTTGGTTTGAATCCGAACTGTTCCCTCTGTTAATTATGGTATCCAGGGTGTCGATTATAATCATTAGCCTTTTCTTTATATTTTTATCCAAAGCAGTGTTATCATTATGGATCTTTTTTAGACTCAGAAAACTGCTTCAACTAAAAAAACGGCAATGCAGTCAAAATAGTAAGATGCGCAGTCTCGTGGAAAAAGACAACACAAATCCACTATGAAAAGTAAAACACCACAGAGCAAGTATGTGTGAGTTGCCTATTGCAATTTAAAAAACAATGTGAAACCATGGATGCAGAAAAACGACACACGAAGAGTTAGAGAATGGGGGTGTTACTGAAGGGACGTACAGAGGTCACAGACATGGGTGCTATGGGTGCATGCCAATGAGAAACCAGAGCTATCACAGTGAGCACCACTACAGACAGTCTGAGAGAAATAGGAAAGGGGACAAAGATGGCGTGAGCTTGAAATGGAGCGACAGAGATCTTTACGATAAACTCTGAATGCTGCAAAAGAAAGTAGATGTTCATACCTAAAGTTAGCTGCGCAATTCCTAAAAAGAGCAAAAAGGCAAAAAATATTTGAATAAATGATATTCCTATGTTTCAAACCCCTTACATTCCACTGTTTAAAGTATTATTTTAATATTTTACCTTCATCCTCAGACACGTCTAATATCTCATCCACAGTTTCTGGAAAACTCATGCGATGCTTCTCTGTAGTCGTCTGCAGAAAACAGTAAGAAAAGATTCAGATTCAGATAGAACAGCAATAAAAAAAAACTCTTTAAAACTACATTGCTTGTACAGCTGTTATTACAAAACCATAACATTTGTGCAGCACAAAAAGAAAAACTCCTAAAACTAATACCATTGAAACGGTCTCCTCAGTGACGAGCTTCAAGACGTCAATCACAGAGATGTATCCCAACCTTTTTGCAATGGCCAGCGCTGACATGCCATGCTGTTAGGCACACAGCAGCAGACTGATTATAGTGAGGAAAAAGTATATCAGTTGATAGGATGAAGGTAGGTTGCACTTTAACTCACGGTAGTGATCTCGTTGGGTTGGGCTCCATGTTTCAGCAATAATGTCACAATGTCTGTGTGTCCTTGCTGCGCTGCCTGGTGCAAAGGAGTGTAACCAAGCTGCAAGGATACAAAAGGCTCAAAACAATTAGAATATGATCATCTGTCAATGCATACATTTTTAATGCTTAATGTGATTAAAAACAGCAATACAATTACTTAGTACAAATGTGTAGTAAGCGCTCACCCTTGTTTTGCTGTTAACATTGGCCTGTTGCTGTAGAAGGAACTTCACCATCTTGATGTTACCATAATGAGATGCTACATGCAGAGGGGTGTATCCCATCTGTCAATAAAAAAAATGTTTAAAACACTGCAGGATAGTGATCGGTTTGAATATTTAACTGAGAGAAGAATGCGTTATTTCAAAAATATGCTGCACTGTAAATTAAGGTCTTTATTTACTTCATTATATTTTGAAAGGTTACAAAAAGACTGTCCAGATTTTACATTCTTAGGTTTCTATTTCATTGGCAAGCGGATTGAACTTTTGGGTCACAATTAAGGGACTTTCTAAATTTACAACAGTTAGGAATTAAAAAAATGAAGCGATCTATATGCATCAAAGGGTTGTAAAATAAAACATAGCAAGCTGAGCATTGTTACTATTGGGAGAGACATAATCTGATCTCAAGTATCAAAAACAGGGTCCAGATGAAGGGTTTTAGAAATGATAGGAATCAGTCTCTAACAGATTACTGTCATAGAATTATGACTACTTGTAATATTCTTACTTTATCAAAGTGATAATCCTGGGCTCTGGCGATACGGTCCTGAGTAATTTGACTTTTATTTTGAGAAAAAAAGTCAGAATTCAATAGCTGTGGCCACATGACTCTCAGTGTCTGTGATGAATTAGCAAGATAGAAAAATGGCGGTAATTCTGAGATTAAAAGTCAGAATTACGAGATTAAGGTTAAAAAAAATGCCATTTTTGTTTAATTAAGTGGTCACTTTTTCAATGGCCTTAAAGCTCTTCATATACTGTATTCTAACAAATCTGAATCTTTTTAAGTATTCTATATTTCCCCTTTTGACAATGATTTGTACTATGAAAGAAAGACTGTATTTGTTTGGCAGCTTTCTACTGAACATGCTGTTACTCCTCAGAAAGCTGGCGGCGTAGGACAAGGCTGAAGGAACACTTGTCCTATAGGTTAATGAGGCACCATATTTCTTTTGTAAAAAAATTTCAGCACCTGATCAACTAATGTGGCAGGGAAATCTGTAATGTGCAAAATTGAGAACTGGTCATATAAAAACAGACTAAACCATGCCAATATAAGTGAAGCAAATCAGCAGCTTTGTGAAGATTGTAGCTCTGTTTGATTACTCAGGTATACGTTTTGACACAAAGATATCATGTTGAAATGATCTGTTGGTCCCAAGAAAAAAAGCATCACTAGTAAGTAGAACAGATTGGAGACAAATGCATTACTATATTAATACAGATGAAATGTAAAGTGCCCATTAAAACTACTGAGAGTTATGAATAATTTAACAAGTATCACTCAGTCAGGGACCAGTTAAATGGCTTTTCTTGAATAACTCTGATCTGTATCAGTGATGAAATATCATGTCTGACACATCTGTCATATAAATACCGACTATGAATGTTTTATAGGTTAAAGCAGACTTGAATTTGCAACCTGTGGATCCAGGGGCCAATACAGAACTTTAGACCCTTAAAATTACAAATTACAGTGAAAATTTATTTATTTTTCTTAATTTTAGGTGAAGAAAGAACTTAAGGGAAATACAAATTTGAAATGTTCTTCTACTTGTTTTCATGTAATCTGCTATCTGCTTACATTTCTACAACAGAATGGTACTAATGGCAGAAAAAAGTAAATCTTTATAGTCATTTAGGTCTTTAGACTGCAAATTAAATATGTGGTTTATTTATTTATCTAATTATTTTTTCATTTTCTAGTTTATTTCCCTATATGTTGTCTCAGTTGGCTTGATATTACAAAAAGTCAGATTTTTTCACTGAAAGAAATTCAAAATATCTCCTCTTTCTAGAAAACAGAAAACGAGAAATCAAATTTTGGTTCAACTATATGACAAAGCAAACTAATTTAATTGTAGTCCTTGTGAAACTAAATATAGGTTTTCTTTGTCAAGGAGGATTTGTGTCTCTGGACAGTTTATTTAGAATGAGTGATAAGTATTGTTTATCATTGGAGCAAGGATTGCTGACCACTCACCCTTGTGGCGGCGTACACCGACGCTCCTTGCTTCACTAAAATATCAGCAATGCCTACATGTCCCTCCTGTGCCACCAGGTGCAAAGGAGTTAATCCACTCTGAAAAAAAGAATAAAAAAGAAGAAGAACAGCATTTAATCTATCAAATTAAATGATCACAACTTAGTTGTATTCTAAAACGAATTTGACTCAAAATCCCAGCTTTTTATTTTCTATATAATGGTTTACTCTTGCCTTGTTGCCCAGGTTGACGTTGGCCTGTTTGGAGATAAGTAGAGAAACCATGTCAGGCCTTCCTTCCTGGGAGGCGAGGTGGAGAGGCGTGACGCCCTGCAGTGACTCAGCGTTGGCTGAAGCTCCATACTGCAGCAAGCTGTTGGCTACCTCGACTTGGTTCTGCTTGGATGCAATGTGGAGGGCAGTGTAGCCATTCTGGATGGCAGAAAGCAGATTTTTTTTTTAAAACAATAACAATAAAACAAACGAAAGCGTGGTGATTCTTAAAATTAAACAGTTTTACTTAAGATCTGTTTTTATTACCCTGGCAGCACTGTGTGGTGAGCCTCCTTTGCTGACAAGCAAGTTAACAACATCCAGGTTGTTGTGATGTACAGCAACATGAAGCGGGGTCAGACCATTCTGTTAAAACAAGATCAGTGATTTAACAAAAAAGGTTTTATTCAGGTTTCTTCACATTTGTTTGGTTTCCCTCACCTTTCCAGCTGCATTAGGGTTTGCTCCTCTCTCAAGCAGCAGCTCTGCCACATCCACCTTACCGTATTTGGAAGCAACATGCAGTGGAGTGAAGCCTTTCTACAAAAGAATCATAAAAGAGACATAATATCAGATTCATCACATCACACTGGCAGAGACTAACTATGACATAAACGGTATTAGAATATTTTCTTTACTTTGGTCATTTTGGTCTGTTGAGCCTCCATGTCCAGGAGGATGCGTACAGTTTGTGCGTGACCTTCTCGGGCAGCTATGTGCAGAGGCGTGTGTCCAGCTGTGGTGGTAGAGTTAGGATTGGCTTTGTGGTCAAGCAGAAGCTTAACCAGCTCTTTGTGACCCATCCGAGCAGCACAGTGCAGAGGAGTTTGATCATCCTGTCAAAGGAGAGAATAGTTTACCTCCTGAAAACCTTTATTCTGCTTTTACACATTATTTTGTAATAGAGTCGGTGTTATTGACTGCTTCTGCTTTAACGCATTGATTTTAGTAAAATCAACTTTCAAAGTCATTTTTAAAAGAGTTTTAATTTTATTATGAAATGTACCTTTGCCTTTGCGTCGACCGGAGCTGAATTCTGCAGTAAAAACTCTGCCACTTCAAAGTGACCTGCCCGAGATGCCATGTGGAGAGGAGTCTCTACTTTCTGTTTCCGAAAACAAACCACATCATCAGCTTCAACAACAGCGTTCCAGAAAACGAGAGTTAGTTGTTTTTTGTTGGTACACACCACATTGGAGACGCTGGGAGAAGCTCCCTTCTGAAGTAGGATCTTCACAATATTAAGATGACCCATAAAGGATGCAACATGCAAGGGCGTAAGGCCTGACTGTTTTAAAACAAAAGAAGAAACATGAGCAATAAAATGAGATTAACAAGCATATGAATCCTGCCTGATAAACGATCTTTAATACTCATTGAGTGTTTTAGATGGATTTTTTCTGATCCCTTACTTCAGTCACAGCCTCTAATGATGCTGATTGTTTGAGCAAGAGGTCCATCACACGCATGTGGTTCTTTTTACAGGCAATGTGCAGAGGCGTGAAGCCATTCTACAAAAACAACAAAATCATAATTTTTTACTATCATGACAAAAAAACAAGACAGCATTCTACAAACAAAATCACCATGTTATGTTATTACACATCTACCCACTGTAATCCTTGGCCTGTCAGACATATTCATACTTCTAACTTTAATCTTTTTTATTGAATTTTTTTTAAATCCAACAACTTTAATAATTGCATCATTATGAAGTATGGAAAAAAGCATATATATATATATATATATATATATAAATCATTTTTTTTGTTATCTTTTATTTTTTACCAACAAAAAGTGTGAATCTGCACTAGCACCTTGCAGAACTGAGGGGCCGCTTCTTTTGGGGGCATTTCATCAGCTTTGTACAAGAAGGGACTCAAACTTTTGCACCCTCTCCATTGCAGAAATAGACAGCAATAACACATGAATATGCTTTGTGCGTAACCACCCTATTTTAGCCATAACTCTATGTTAATGGGTGTTCTCCTGTTCAGAGGTCAGGCTTCTATTCAGAATTGTGTTTTGCAGGGTTACATGTTTCCTTCATCATCAACCTCCCCAGACAACAAATCCTTGTCTCTACAAAAAAACCACCCCTGTAGCAGAATGCTTGTGTCAATAGAGATACATAATCACAATAATGTGCTGGATTAATTTTATGTTTGAATTACTTTTTAAAATAAACTTTTTGTTTAAATGTGGCCAGAGTATTTTCTATAATGTGTGTTCTGTTGCCTGCATGGTTTGTGGCATGTAAAATTGTCTCCCTTATGTCTGTTTTAACATTTCCTAAGAAAAGAAGTACACAAATATTGACTTTAATTACTGAATAGGCTTTTTTTGCGGCAAACTGTTTAAACAGTTTTTTTTAGGGATCAGAGTAAATAAAGCTTAATACAAATAAACATCAAGCAGTTTTTTTTATTTGCAGAAAATTCTATTTGGTCTTTTAAAAGATACTGCTACGGCTCATTACTCTAATGGTTTGAATAAACATATTTATTGCTAACCAGAGCCCTGGAGTTGGGTTTGGCTCCTTTGTCTAGCAGTACTTTGGCCATGCGGTGGTGCCCGCAGTGTGCTGCTACATGCAGCGGGGTGAGGTGGTCCAATGTTATATCATCAATCTCTGCGTTGTACTGCAGGAGCTGCTTGACACAGTCCATGTGGTCCCCCTGTGCTGCCATGTGGATAGGAGACAGACCGTTCTGCAAAAACAGAAACAGTTCTTCACTCTCTCTTATCTGTATCTGAAAAAAAAGGTAAAAAAAATTGTTTCTTTTACCTTTGTCTTTGCCTGGATTGGAGCCCCATGGTCAAGCAGGATCTCAATAATTCTGACATGTCCATTTCTGGCAGCGCAATGCAAAGGAGTTAACTCATCCTGTAAAATTATAGAGAGTTGGTGATTTAGTTATGAATTGTTTATTTACAATTAAGGACATGAAAATGAGATCGACCCTGGGCTTACCTTGGTCTTAGCATCAATCTGCGCCCCCCGGTCCAGCAGGAGTCGGACCATGATCACATTTCCTCGTCTAGAAGCAATGTGCAGAGGGGTGATGCCATTCTGCAGAAACATAAAGACAAGGTTATATAAACACTGCCAAAAATGAAAGGAGAATTGGTATTGTGGAATGAACTGGCATTTGTTGTGTTTTACCTTTGGGGTGAAGTTGACGTTTGCTCCTCGATTTAGCAACAATTGTGCCACGTTCAGGTTCTCATAGTGTGCAGCAATGTGGAGGGGTGTAAATCCAGTCTGCAAAATACACCTCAGTGTCACAGCTTCTGCAGTTTATTGGCACAAGATAGAAAATAATAGAAAAAGATGGATTGGCCACAGACCTTGCTGAGGACATCAGGGTTAGGGTCATTCTGCAGAAGCACTGCAGCTGTGCGTGTATCATCGTTTCGTGCTGCAATGTGCAGAGCTGGCAGCCGGACCTTCCCCTTGGTGCCATAGTTAATGAGTAGGGCTACGACATTCTCATGCCCCTGCTGAAGAGCCACAGCAAGAGGCGTGAATCCATCCTGCAGCACAAGAAAGAAAGTTAGAAGAGAGGTTGACTCAATAAGTCTAAAAGCAACCGATGCGAGAGGAGGGGCTCATGAAAACAAACTAGAATAAAAAACACGGTGAGTGTGGAACAGCAACGGGTAGGTAACCTTTATCATACAACTCGCAGTTCTTAGGTACCTCTGTTGGAATGCTCTGATTGGCTCCATTCTCCAGAAGAAACTTCACAACCTCTAGATGGTTTTCTTGTGCGGCCATGTATAGTGGAGTGAAGCCCTTCTGTCTCAGAAAGACGCACGGCAGGCAAGGACACATATACAGGAACACACACAGCAAAGTCACAGATGCACACACCAGGATGCACACAGAGAGGAAACACAACCATACAGAAATATCAGACAAACAGAGATGAATTTTAACGGATGGAATTACAGTAGCTTCTATGATGGTTAAATTCCCATAGTATGAGCTAAGCAGCCTCAGTTTGAGCTGTGACGTCTGCTGTGAGAGCAGCTCTCAGTCTTTCTCTCTCACCTGAGACTGAGCATTGACATTGGCCCCATAGTTTACGAGCTCTGTGACCACCTGCTCCTGTCCTGCCAGGGCTGCAATGTGCAGGGCGGTGTTCCCTTTCTGTTTAAACACAAGCAAAAACACTATATTTAACATAATCAATCCCCACACAGAGCAACAACTAGCTCTTTCACTATGAGTGACGTACACACATTGGTACTTTATCTGCAAGGACTTGATATTGTTTAGGAACAAAAGAGTAATTCACATTTAAACATTAAAACTGTAATGATCTACATAAAAAAAAATATATATATATATATTGCTGAACGTTTGACACGCTAGGTTTTGTTAGGAATCCAGTTTGTGTGGGTTGTTTGTGTGTTTTTCCACCACCAGGTGGTGCCGTGTCCTTGTTGGGCATCCCTGCACACCTGCGGCTCGTCGGACCATTCCTGGAGGAGTACTTGAGCAGTTGGCTGTCACTACCTCGACGCCAGAGTGTTTGCCAGTTTTGGGTACTCTAGCCAAGCTGAGATTAGCTGAGTCTAACCTGAGCCTTTGTTTCTCTGAGTCTTATATTGTTTTTGTCTTTGCTCTTTGGCAGGAAGCCTTCCTGTGTAACTAGATGCCTGGTCTTCTCCCCCAGGAAGGATAAACTGAGTTCACACTGAGCAGGGGAAAACATCCACATGAGCCGTTCAAGACCCTTTCGCCCGCTCCATCATTCAGATACTGTAATTTGAAGTTGGCTTAGAAAAAGAGGTAAGAACATTCACACTTTGAACTACTTTAAAGCACTCTAAGTTGCCATGAGTATAAGTGTGTGGAAGCATGGCTTTACAGTGGAAAAATTATCCTGGAAAAAGAAAAATTAAGTGTATTTACCCTTAATTTGAGCAGGTAAATGAGATTTGCCAATGGGAAGAGTATTTTCACTCTTAGAATAAGATAATTAGATAATATTCACTTGAAACAAGACGATGCAATTGTTTTACCTTATTTTAAATGTAAATTGTCTCGTTCCATTGGCAAAGTGCCTCACTTTCCTTCTCAATTCAAGAAAAAAATGCACCTTTTTTTAAGAAAGAAAAGACCTACCGGTACGTAGATTTAATATTTTTGCAGTGACTGAGTTTTATAGGCCAGTCCTAGGGCCCGATTTAAAAAGGTAGGAAACATAAAATCCAAATGTGATTCTTTTTATGAAATCATTTTACCTTTGTGGTGGTCTCAAGTGTGATTCCATTGTGAAGCAGCTCCAGCACCATTTTGACATGGCCTTCTTTGGAGGCCAGATGCAGTCCGTTGAGGCCATTCTAAAGGAGAGAGAAGAGCAGACCTAATACTGGAGAGTCCTACAAAAAAAACCCCGCATACACTAGGAGCACAAAACACAGGAGCACCATGCCAGGTGAGTGGTTTGAAGTCACAATGACGTAATCACTCACCAAACACACCAAGCATGTTACTGAACAGCATGCAAGATGCCAGACTCAAAGAGATAATCTTGGAAACGACATCTACAGGAATGAAAATCAGGAGGTCTTCTTTTCATTCACTTAGTGACAGTTAAAGGAGGAGGGAGAGAGGAGGGGATGGCAGGCCACTGGTCTCATGGCTGGGAAGAATACGAGCCGTGTGGGATAGGTCTAACCTCACACAGCCTACCTTCAGCCGCACAGGACATGTGAGGTTGGACCTTTCCCACACCACTGATATTATTCCTCTGAGTGGGGAGACCACAGCACACCATCACTCTACTGGATATAAAGGAGAGAGGGGGAACAAAAAGCAAAGATAGAGGATAAAAAAGGCAAAATACAAACTTAGATGAGCACGAGAAACAAGAGAGAATGGAGGAGTGGTGCAAAAAACTTGATGGAGTGAGGATGTGTGCTGGTCATGGAGTTGGAAGTGTCCACTCAGACCAGGAAACAACCTCACCTGTACAAACCCCCTAAGTATAAACAAACTTTGCAATGCAGGCAAAAGGACAACTTTTAAAACAAATAAATATTTTAACACTGCATCAATGTAAAAACATAAAAATACTGTAAGGATTTATTTTAAATGAAAATAAGGACATATTGTCCATAATTGCTCTTATGATTTTTTTTTACATTGTTTTTGATCAATTAAATAAAAAGTTTAAATGCAAAGCTTTGAGAACATTGCTTACTTTTACTTTAATTCAATTACATTTTACACCAAGCAAAACAAAAACCGGATAGCTGCAATAAAGCATTAAAATTATTACTTCAAAAACAAATGAAAAATCTTGTCCTTTGTTTTTCTTATACCAATTTTGTTGTCAATGCATGAAGTATTTAGGTTTCATCAACATTTGCTGAACTGTGTCACTTTCTGATTTGGATTTAATGTCCTGCTTGGACCAATGGTTAAAGACAGCAAAACAATACTGCTGACTCATATTAATGAGTGAAAGGACTCTCTCATTAAGTTTTGCAGGAATTTACAGCCTGGGGGCTTCAGTAATGCTGATATTCCTGAGCACTCAGATTCACTCTGACAAGCTGTCAGAGCTAAGGATGCAGAATGGAGAAGATGAAGCAAAGGGAATCCTTTGCAACATTTATAAACTCAAAGTTACCTCCACATGCCACTTCAAAGTGCTGTTTAACAGCTGAACAGAGCATGCTTATGTTGAGATAGCAGGGACAGTGCTTAGCCCATGCAAGGTGGACAATACAAATACACACAACAATAGAAAATAATGGTGTAGATTATGATGGAAACGACCTGGTATGCCTGTTTTATAACTTATTTTTTGTGACTTGGACTCATAAATACTTAGATCAGATACAGACATTTTTTTAACACCCCAGTTTTCACGCCGCATCAAACAGTAACCAGGGTAGTTTCCTGGGGCCATCCCTTTACCACCATCATTTCCACTGCATCCATCAAATCTGAGTTGCAGAACAAAAATCTAAAACACAAAATTTTCCCTTGTTGGATGAAAATGCTTTTTACATAAACTTTAAGGAGGTTTAAGAGATTAGGGGTGGGAAGGTGCTGCATATCTGTAATGATTTGATTCATTCGCCTCAAACTTTCAACTCTTCTACAGTCAATAATTCTGTTAACTTTAGATGTTAAAATAAAACAAAACTATTTTTGTTTGTGAAGATAATGTTTAATATTATACCTTGTTAAACAGATTAAATGATTTAGACAGCTAAAACAATCAGCTAATCAAAGCTTTAGGCTTATTTAATACACTAGCCTTTTAATAATTATGAATTTTTGTATCATAACAAAATTCCTGTATCAAAAAAGTGACATCATTCCTGTTTTATAATATAAATACTTTGAAGAACACAAAAGCAATGATTGAAGAAAAAGAAGCTCTAATACATGTTTTCCCCACTAAAATTCTCTACACATAAAAACATGGCAGTTTGTTGGAAACCTTTTTTTAAATTTATTTTACCTTTCAATTTAAAGTGGTTTAACACGAGTTATACTGTTAAGTGTAGTCCTGAAATAATTATTTCTCTCTCAAACTGAGTGGTAAGATATAGGTGAACAACCCTCTCAATGTGAGCAGACAAAAAAGAAAAAGAAAAAAAACCTGGGGGATTTAAAATATTCTGCAGAAGGTTCTGGTTGAGAAAAGCGTTTCTCTTTCTTAGTTAAAATGCGCTCTTGTTAAACACATTTTAAAAATCCTTTTATTGAAAGAAATAAAAAATATAGATCAAGCCTAGTCTAATCTGCTTGCGATAAGATCTGTAGTTAAAAGAAAACAAGGCTGACAAGGGATGCTTGTGTACAAATGACTCTCGAGTATTTCTATTTTTAGGCAGCTCCTTTTAAAACCAATATTGTTAAAAGGGGAAATGAATGAATGTAAAAAAAGCCCCAAGAAAAGATCATAACATGTAAATAAATGTACCAGATGATGAGATGACTTTGTCAGTGATCCAAATTAATGTATAAAATGTTAGTTATCTTTCTTACCTGATTAGCTGTATTGATATCAATGCCATTTTTTATATGATCCAAGGCCTTGTCCAGGTTGCCAGATCGGGCTGCTCGGAGAAAACTGTTGCCAGCATCAGCCTATGGAGTAATGAAAGGATAGCGGAAAACAGGAGGGAATGAAGGGTTGTAGAAAAAGCGAGAGACATGTAAAGGAAAAGAAAGGGAAATAGGAAAAAAAGAGTGACATTTCATTATTTTTAAAATGATATGACATTAAAACATCAGGGATCATCACTTGTCCAAAACTTTTCCTCTCAATTCACACCTCCCTTGTGCAATTTTCACCCCAGGTAGAAAATTAGCTTTCTTCTGTGACTTAAAGTTTGAATGTGTAGCAGGCAGTTAGCAGCAGAAAAGAACTTGAAATACTCCCAAATTATATATGCTGTTCACATAAGAAGGAAATGTCACAAATAAAGCTATAATATTTTAGAGGAATGGCAGTGGATCAGAGTATGAAGATCAGTGGGCCTTGGCTCAGGGGCCAGGACACGGCGTGTCTGGCGTTTTTGTCTGTGTTTTATCTGCCTGTCTGAGAGCTTCATTACTCTCCCAGACAAGCAGGAGTTTTGCTGGAACGGGATTACTCATGCACCATGTGGAGAGCAGCGAGGGAAGAGAGAAGAAAGGAGAACCCGGATTGTGAAGTTAGCAGGCAAAACCACAAGGAGGAACTCCATTGAAATCTGAAACTTTTTTTGTTCATTCATACTATAGCCATGCTTACTGTACACCCACCCACCCTGCATCACCCCATTTGACCTGTTATCTCAAAATACCCATCAGTAAGATACTGGTGTTGCAAGTTTACATATTCAAATAATGTATTCAGTAAGACTGCAAGCTCTCAAAAGGTTGCAAAACACTTTAACAACACTTTAAACTCCATAACTACTGTTGTGACTGGGATTTTGGCTTTCTTTGAGAGAAGGGGAGAAAGAGAGGGAGCTTTGCTTAAAAAAAATCAGAAAGGATCCGCATGCCTGAAGTAGAGGCATAGCAACAAATGACACAGCCCTCCCTCAGCAGGAATTCAGCCACACAAAACTGTGCAAAGAAAGAGATCATGTTAAAATTTAGAAACTTTGTTGGCAAGAAAAGTAAACAATTTTAAAAGTTGCTAGTTCTTGCTGCAAAACAAAATCTGACATGATCTGACATGTCTGTCATGCTAAAATTTACAGTGGCCAAGTGTTAACTTAGTAAAATAGTGACAAACTCTCTTTTAGAAGGGTAATTTCTATTAGGATATACATTTTCTTACTCTAAAAATAATTTTGAAGCACCTTGGAATCATTTTGACACACCAATGAAAGAAAGAATAAGGAAAGTCACAATAAAATAGAAAAAGGGTCCAAGTGAAATTTGAGTTGTGTTAATTACATTCACCGTTGAGCATTGGCTGGAAATGATCATGGTTTAATACCTTAAACAAAAATACCACAACTTTGCCCCTCCTTAAACTGCCACCTTACAATGGTAGAGCCAGGCCAAGGTTCATTAGCGAGTGCCTGGTGGTTGGTTTTGTCCTTGTGGGAACTGGTCAGTCTAAGCCCAAACTAAAAAGACAGTCGGCCCACCACCTGCAGAGGGACTAATGCACAGAGGACAGAGTGGCAGTCAGAGGCAGAGGTGACCTGATCCACAGACACTTAAACTGCCTTTGGGGAGATGAAATGGGACCTCACTGGCTGGGAAAGTGTATATGTTGGTGATGGAGCGATACTGGCAAGAAATGCTGGGGCTCACCTGCATTTACAGTCTGGACTATGACTTCCAGAGCCACCAGTGCTGTCAAGGAAGCAACTTCCAAATCCAGCAAAGGACATAGACAGTAAGTGATGTCTTCAAGCTTAAGATGGATTCCTATCAAGACTGGTTGGTTTATGGGGGGCAGGTGGGGCACTACCCTGGTGACTGAAGAGGCAACAACTTGGGCTTGGGAGGAGTTCAGAGAGGCCTTGAAAACAAACCATCGGTCAGCCATTAAGTGATTCTGGCAAACTATCTGGCGCCTCTGGAGGGGGAAGCAGTACTTTGGCCACACTGTTTACAGTCAGAGTGGCATGGTGCTGACCGTGACTCAGGACATTGTTAGACAATGGAGTAATGCTTGAGAGTAGATGCTCGAGGTCAGACTTCCTCATCATCTAGGTAAAGTCAATGAGGTGTTTAAAAAAATCATGGTTTCCCCTGGACCTACAGACGAGGGTGGTCATTCCTCTTCACAAAAAGGAAGTCGGAGGCTATGTTCCAGCTAGAGGGGGATATAAAGTAAGAGGGAGGAAGGGGATCACTTCAATTGGTCCTTTGCCAGATGTTCCTGTCCTCGAATAGTCGATGAATGTCCACGAATAGTACAACAAATCTAAGCTAGTGTGAAATGGGAAACAGAAAAGGGTCTAAATAACATGAAGATGTGCAAGAGATTCACACCTATGAGATATTAACATCTTGCTGCTCATTTTAATTTCGTGTGTATAAATAAGTAATTCCATCATAACTTGACATCATTAGTAACTGACCCTTGTATTTTATCACCTTTGACTGATTAATGATTTTCATCTAAATTTTTTCACCCTTTTTCTTAATGTAATGTAATTTTTGGATAGGAGCTGGTAAAACTACCAAAGAAAACCTCACACAAATAACCCAAATCAAGCATATTCATTTTTCTGTCATGACAATGTGTAAAACATCTTTTTTAATGTGAAGACAGGAGACAGTAGAGGCAATTAACTTAGCACAGTATGAATGTTCTTCTGAAAAAATTACAGCATCCCTAACCCCATGTTGGCCTTAACCTGAGCCCTGTTCAGTCTTCAGATATTTTAAAAGCAGCAGCAACTCATACTGAAACCCCTGCAGGAGGAATTTCCCTTCAGAGTGAGGCTTTCCTATTGCGCACTTCTCAGTTTTCATGTACTTGTATGATTACCGACTGACGTCAAGACGGGAGTGTGTGGCGCTGCAAGATAAAGATTCAGGATAACCACACCCGTCCCTGGGATCACGCATAAACAGGTGCAGCTTACACACAAAATATGAAGAGTGGAGAGGAATGTGTTATAAGGCAACTCCTCAGGTGCATTTAGCTGAACTGTATTTAAATGAATGATGTCTCCTCCCTTTTCAAATCTCCCACAGAAAGCAGATGAGCTTGAGCCTTCTGGACAGAGCAGAACCTGGCAAGCACATTTATCACACTGTTTAGTGCACAAGGAGCAGACAATAGCCTCTGTATCTGTGTTTTTTGTTAACACAGGCAGCATCAAAATACAATGGCGTGTAGCGTGCAGCTGTCCTCAGGCTTAGACTGGTGCACAGCTTCTCATAATGAAGCCTAAATTATCAATTGAAATTAATCTCATAGTTTAATTTATCATATCAAATCCTTCCACGGCTTCTTTTTTTCCTTGTGAAAGAAGAAAAAGAGAATCCCTTCTCCACCCTCTGTTCTTTACGTTGTTATTCTCCCTGCTGAGCTTCCTTTGCTGGTGCTGCAGCAGATCAGGATGACATCACTCCTCACCAGTGCACTGCAGTATTCAAAAGGATGCACCCATGTGTGCATGCATGTACATGTAGTCCTAGATATACAAGACGCTGATTTCCATTTACAATCAGGCTAGTTTTGAAGCAAATATTAATGTGAAAGGATCACTTTGTGTTTATGCATGTTTACTATGTGTTTATGTGTTAGAGGCAGATATGAAAGACACCTTCCAGACAACGGAAATCACTGTCTTAAAACTGCTTGCTCTTAAGCTACAGATTGGAACATCTGAGCCAAAATGAATGGATGATTTATAAAATGAAAATCTCCTGCAAAATTTCAGCCTTAATCTATTTTCACTCATCATTGAAGGAAATGTTTGGAAAATTTCCCCTGGAGTTCATTCTATTAAAATAAATTAAAAAAATATTGCTTAAGGGATCAGAACTGCTGTTATAATGTAAGAAATTATGTTTAAATGCACATAAATGTCCAAACAGAAATTGATTGTTCTGTTAGGAAAGATAACTTTCTGTTTCTGAAATAGATGACATGGTATGTGGGGGTATCCAGAAAGATACCCCCACATACCCCAGTGTTTTAAATACTTACTAAGGACCTATGTCTTAACCGCGACCCTAAACAGAACCAGTACAGGTGAATACCTTACCTAGCCTAGCCTTTTCTTGTCCTCGGTTTTCAAGTTCTCACTCTACAGTAAAACGTGAAAAATATGTTTTGACTCAGCTGCGAGTACAACTACACAAACATACATACAAATAAATGCAAACCTCCAAATTTGCTGAAACAGCACCAGGTGCACCTTGGAAATAGTTTAAGTGCCACAGCAGCAAAAATGAGAAAATAAGGATTCTTCATATGTTCAGGGATGGTAAGTGTTGCTTATCTTCACTGAACTTAAAAAGAAAAATTCTACAAGATCACCTTGCATAAGAAATATCTGCTATTTTACTCAATACCCAGATCTACAGTATTTTGCACTAATTATCTTTTTATTCATTCAGTGCAACACTAAATACTGGATGTGGTCATTCCTGCAGAGGGTTTAACTACTGTTCCATCATCCTTTTCTGTTGACTTGCTTACTTTGCCTGTTAGATTTTTTTTTTCTTTCTCCTTATTTCTGCTGCTTGCTACCCCTGCAATTTGTTAGAGAATTGGCAGCAGCCTGTTTGCAGCAACACAGTCATATTTAGTATAAAGGTATATCTGAGTGAGAACAGTGGGGATGCTCGGACATAGACACAGCTGCATGAAGCGAACAAGGATGGAGCTAATACAAATTCCATCTAAAGCCTCATCTGTCCGATCATTCATCCGTGGAGTGTCTCACTTGCAGTATTTACTTTCTCACACTTTCAGGGACCCCCACTCCACATCCCACTGTTTGTCCCTGCCTTGCCTAAGGATTGTCTCTTTATGATTGGCGCTGCTGCGCTCCCTGAGCTTCGAGATGAGATTGTCATGGGTATTATCGTTACGGTTATTGTGATCTTTTGTGTACGACAAAGAAGGTGAAAGCCATAGGCTGAAGAGTGTGTAGGGGACTTATAAGAATAGG